GTCAAATGGCTCCACATAACTATAATATCCTGTAAAACAAAGATGTTTCCTGAGTTTTAAAGGAAATCAGAAAAGGGAGATGAGACAATAATTAGAAAGAATTTGGTATAAGGAAGGGAAATTCAATTAACATATTTTTTTCTTACCCTGGATCTTTTTACTGCAGGGATTCAGGATTGGAAGGGAACAATAATTCATTGCAGCAAGAGCCAAAAACATACGCTGCGCAGTCAGAAGAGTCAAACCGTCTATTTCTCTCACAACTGCCATCTAAAGTGAACCAGAGTTTATTAAATCCTTCATTCTTCAGGTATATTATCATTGCTTTCTGGTGAAGACATTATCACCAAAACTTTCCCAAAGTCCTTAGTTCAGATTTATAGGAAAGAAAAAGAAGCAAAAAACAGTAAAAGCATATAATAATTAATGTCAATTTCTTAATACACAATTATAGTAGGTCAAGTGCTCTAGAAATGTGTCACTACACAAGTTTCCAGGAATTTGCATTTATATGGCTATTTTGAAACAAAAAAGCCCTCAGTAAAGGTCATTTCCAAATATGGTGAATACACATCTACCAACTCTTAAGAAAGAAGCAGAAATAAAACAGATACAGTTAACTTAAAAGTTCATAGTAGTCCAATTATAGTTTTGCATGTGCATGAAAACTGTAAGCCTCCAAAGTGATTCAACGGTGTGTGAGTGGCCTGTATTTTATACAAACACCCAGCTACGAATGTGGACTGAGGCAGAGTCAGCTTTGATGCCAGAAAGGAGATTTCATTTATCAAAGCCATCATTACCTTGATACAAATGACAGTAAAAATGAAAATACAAATTATATTGACTGTTAAAATACAATATTTTTACTGTATACATATCAGAGGTTGAATACAAAATGCATCTATAAGAAATTGCCCTGTAAAAAACAGCACACTGTGGGCTCAGAAAATTAAGTGCTCCCTTTAGTTAACAAGTGGAAATACTATTTTCCTCTCAGTTTTATGGTGTTTCATGAATGCTATTAAAACCTCTGATGTCAGAGTCCTACAGTTATGAAAACACCAGCAGGCTCTGTTTGAAAGGTTTCCAAAAGGGATTTTAAACCAGGGGACAAAACCCAGTACACCCTGCCATAAAACCAGCAGCCTGCTCCCAGCCATTGTATTTCCCAGGGAACCTATCTCATACACAGAAAAGCAAGACCATGAGCTTGGGGAGTTCTGGCATCTCACTCCCACCAGTCCTCCTGCCCTGTACAGTCACTGGACACAGCCCCATCACAGACCAGTTTTCTGTCACCTCATCTTCAGCCACAGGCTGGGCAAGGGAACAAGGAAACAGCCTGTAAGCTCTTCTATGAACCACCATGTGGCCAACCCAAAGAGCTGAGGGCACTGCTGTTTTACTGCCTCAATTTGTTTTGTTACCAGCCTCCAAATGTAAGTTCTTCCTGCAGATATAGCTGGACTCTGATGCATATAGCAAATACAGTTATCTTTCTATTACATTTTCTCTTTCAGTGTCTGCAAAGAACCATACACAGTTTATAAACTATGCAAGAGCACAGGCTTTGTGGAAGTAACAATGAGCCTCCAACTAACTTTACCTCTAATTTCTTTTTCAGAAAAACTGGAGCATCTCTTCCCAGGCATTTCATCAGGTTTTGCAGAATAAAGATGTCTCTGATACTTGAAATGCGCTGCTCTACTAGTAACCTGATGGAGAAACACACACAAGAGCTCTCCTCATTCCAGCAGAAACAGGTCAGTACCCCCATTTTTCTTCACTGATGTAGCCCCCAAGTGAAAGCTCTAATTCCTTGCTCCTCTCCCATCTTCCTTTTTTTGAAATGCTGACATAAGTCTACATGACATAGCTGCAGCACAGATATTTTACACATAGAAACAATTATAAATGCTTTCTTAGTGTTAATCCTGATAGATGAATTGTTGTTGCTGATACATTTAACAGCAGGGGCACCCAACCAGACTGCTCAAGTGACAGTGCAAATATGAGTGCTGTTCAGCCTCAAGGAATTAACACCCTTCTGCAGAAAATGAAAATTGCACATTTTTATCTTTAAATCATTGATGTGCAGGCAAGTTCTGAAACAGACAGGAAACTGGATGTCAGGAATGGACACAGACAACAACTGGATGCAAGTGAGGAATAAAACCAAACAGACAGTGCTGTGGGCTGAAAAGGAGATAACAAGGAGATCGTCCACACAAGATGAAGGTGCACTCCTAGCACCTCCTCTTCTGGCTCAGTGGCTGGCATTGTAATTGTTATGTCTGAACCACCCTTAAATATACCTGCACAGGTAAACATATCTACAGAAATATTAAGTGTCACTTTTTAAGGCAGTGGACTGGTCTGAAACTCATCCCTGCAAATGTGCCAGAGCTCCAGACATCAGGACAGAAGAGTGTAGACGGGACTCCTGCTTTGCACCAACTTTTAAGAGCTGTGTACCTGTGCTTCCAGGAGAACCTGGTTTTTGGGTATCACATCAACTTTCTCAAAGCAGAACGTGATACAGGGTCAAAAGTACTAATCCATGGCAAGTTTTGTGATAGCTTCAGTAAAATCAATCTCATGGGAGTGAGCAGATTTGTTACACACGTAAATGGCATGGGCCCAGAAAAAAGCCAAAGAAGTTATTCTGATCAATCACTACACAGAGGGCTTGCTGGACACAACTAGTCTTCATCTGAATTTTCACTTACTGAAGCTGTAAGAAAATATTCCCAGGCTGTTAAACAATGCTTTTCATCATGAAAAACCAGGTCCCTAAGATAGTCTCATTACCTCCTGTCTGCATACAGATGAAAAAGGAATAGATATGTGAAGGGACTTGATCAACATCACAAAAAAACTACACTGGAGCAGCTGCAGTCAGAACACAATCCCCTGCAGACTAGTACCCTTTACCATTGGAAGCCTTCCTCCTTGAAACTGCAAAGACAGTGCCAAAATTCACTAACACAACTCTTTTCTCATGTGATCACTTAAATCCTAAAACCACAGAATGTATTTTACGTGCAGACATACCCTTGATGATTTCTAACAGACAAGCATTTAAACAACATTTAAATATCAAGGACACATGAAAGATATATTTTTCTCACTGTAATCCAGCTTGAAGAGCGCTCACATTCTTGTCTTTATCCATCCCTGCTAAAGTAGTTGCCAAAACTGAGATACATCGGTTATCAAGTTGATTGAGCTTCTCCTGTTAAAAAGTTTTGACAATGTCAGATTACTTCAAATCAGTAAAAGTTTCAGAAAAGAAAAACACCACTTTTAATTTGTAACTGCCATTTTCTTTTTCCCCCTGAAAAGTCAGTTGACAAGCTTTATTTCTGCAGAACCCACAAGGTCTCACATCAGTCAAACCTAGTTGATTTGGAAGAGGTAATGATTCAAATTTTGAGATTTCTCCTCTCTTTTAAATCAGGCAGTGGTTTCAAAATTAAGGAAATTAGAAGCACACATGAATTATGGGAACTGTTTCCATGGAACATCAGCCTAAACCAGGGATACAATCCAACTCTCTCTGATGCTGCACAGCTTCCCAGAATTACCCAGTGGTCATTCAGCCCAAATTTCGGAGAAGGATTTTCACTCACCTGGCACACTCTGAGCAGGGTCTGGAGCAGGAGTGTGTTCTGCGGCACGCCGAGGCTCACCAGGGCGTGCAGGCTGAACACCAGGTCCCCGCGCGTCATCCTGCGCGCCTCGCGCAGCAGCTGCTGGCACAGCTTCACGAAAGCCGGGTGCTCGAAGATCAGCTGCTTCTCGTAGCGCTGCTGCTCCTCCGACAGGCTCTTGAAGAGCCTCCAGGCCGTGGTCAAGGAGTTTGTGTAGTGCTTGATGGAAACGGCCGCCTCGGCAGCCAGGTCCAGGGCGTCGCTGGGACAGGAGCATTTCTGGAGGCTGCTGAAGAACGGGTCGCTGGGATCCACCGCATGCTTCGCTTTGAAGCTCCCTGAATCATCCAGCTTTTCAACTGCCAAGGAGCTCTGGGAAGCCTTCTCACTCACCAAAGCCTCTGCACCTGTGCTATAAACATCTGTCTTTTGAGATGCAAATCGAAGAGATGATCCATGCAGAGAAGGCAAAATATTTAAAAGTAATTTCCTGAAGTTCGCATTTCCTAAGGGATCCCTGTATCTGCCAATCCATGAAATGTGTTTTCTTGTTGTGGCTGAAGATTTGGGAGCGAGCACAGAACTGTACCTATGCACACATCTGACAGTATTTAACAAATAACTTATTTTATTATTCATCTCTGCTAATGCCTCATGAATAGATTTGAAACGGCAATTCAAAGTAAGGGATCTGATGACATTCTACCAGTGGAAACAGTTCTGGAGAAACTGCACAAGATCGCTCATCTGTAAAAACAATCGAAAAGTTATGGATTAGTTACCAGACTTTCAATTCCCCCAGTTGCAATTGCCAAATCTGCACACTTTTACAGGAAGGGAGAAGATCTGGTAAAAGATCCCCGGAAAATGGTTGGCAGAGAGGCTTTTATTTGCTCTCCTACATTCCAGTCAAACATCTCAGCACAAGGACAGCCCTTGCCTCCTCCTTGCTGCTCTGCCCGGAAGCGGAGTCTTCTCCTAAGGGACGTTTCCCCAGGCACACGCGTCTCCCGACAGGGCTCCGGAGGGTAAGGGGATCCCAGCCGCCAGCCTGTCCCAGCCCGCCCGCCATCCCAGGGCACAGCCGCCATCCCAGGGCACAGCCGCCACCCGCCAGCCTGTCCCAGCCCGCCCGCATCCCAGGGCACAGCCGCCCTCCCGGGGCTCCCGCGGCCGCCGCTACCTCGCACGCGCGCCGCCCTGACACCGGGCCCGGCGCGCCGCGAGCTCCCGGCGGGCCGCGCGACGCGGACGGTGCGGGCCGAGGGTCAAACTGCCCCGGCGCGCGGCGCGTTGCTGAGCAACGCCGAAGCGGCCGTTGGAGGGCGGCGCGCGCATGGCCAAGTTCGTGGTGGCGGGTGAGGCGCGAGCCGGGAGCCGGGCCGGGCGGCAGCGGCACCGCCACCTTGTACCGGGAGCCGGGAGCCGGGCCGGGCGGCAGCGGCACCGCCACCTTGTACCGGGAGCCGGGAGCCGGGGGGGTGCAGCTCGCCGTGCTCGCAGCAGTCGCCCCAGTCTGCGGGCTCAGCCCCGTGCCCGTCTTTGCGGCTCTCCGGGAGCCTCGGCGGTCCCGGGTCAGCGTTCCCCCTCACCCCGGCAGTGAGGCGTCGGCATCTCTGCTGCTGCCCCACAGGAGTGGCCTCCTCGGCCCCTTGGGCGCTGGCTCGGGGGTCTTTTTCACCTGCAGAATTACTTTTCCTTAGCTGGCTCACGTTAAACAATGTTTGGTCTTTTAAGCCCTTGTCAGTGAATGACAAAATCTTGCCATTGTGCTGCTGTTGCTATGTTCACAGGTAAGGCAAACTGCCCTTACTATGCCAAAGCTGAACTCCTGGCTGACTATCTCCAGACTAACTTGCCCAGCTTCAGGGTTCACAAGATTACTCAGCACCCTGACAAGTGGGAGGTAAGAGATTGTAAATCAAGTCGCTGGTAGGTGCTCCAGTGTTCTACAAACCAAGAAATGTGCTTATCTGCAGTATGTTTCTTCTTCTGTTAGTGGTTTGCTGTGTAGATAGAGATGCTGCAGAAGCAGCTCTGGCTGTGAGAGCCAGCCGGAGGAAAGGTTACAATGTTTTGAGCAACTGACATCTCTGAGTTTTACCACAGAAGATGAGCACAAAGTGTGGACCAGCCTCAAGCTGTATTACGTCAATAAAAAGTTTTTGCTTCTTTGCTTGGTTTTCTGGGGTATTTTTTAAAGTATAAATGACTGTTCAGCCTGTAAATCTTTTGCTCACTGTGATTACATATACCTTCAGAGTTCTTACTTGTCAAGAGCCTTTGTGGCATTCAAGGGCTTTGAATTGCAGTGGAAGTATGAAGTTAAATATCACATATTTGTTTACAGTATGGATGTGCCTTATGCTGTAGACATGCTGCCTATAAGGCTCTGAAAAAAACTGCAGTCTTACTCCATGAGATAGACAGTTCTGTGGTATTTATTACCTTGTGTATTTTGCTTTACACATCCACCAAGTAACTTGAACAGTTAAGTGAAAAGCAATTAACCTCTTCACCTTACTTACCTTCTGTGGCTGAGTGAGAATCCTCAGATTACTCGCTGCTCCACAACATTGCTGTCTTCTGTACCACTAAGACAACTAAGTGAAATCAAGACTTTGAGGTGAGCTATCCCAGTGTATCACCATTCCTTTTGTTATTCCTGCATTTTGTACCCACTGGTAATTAAATTCTGAAGCACCTTGTAATTATATATTGAGAGGAAATAGTAAGAATGCTTGTAGTTGTAATGTTTAAATGTTATCAAATATAATGTATTAAAACATCTGGTGGGGATGTCATCAGCAGTGGCTTCATGACATTTGTGAAACAAATGGATGGCAACACAGCCAGTCTCCTATCATTTGGAGAGAACTGCTGGACCGTGGAGGGAAGGGTCAGCTTCTGGGAGGACTTAATGATTTTCTGGAATATGCTCAGGTAATAAGCTGCCTTTAATACTGTTAAGCCCATGTTTTACAACATTGTTGTTCTTTTTTTCTCCTTCAAACGTAAAATAAAGCCATTGTTAATGTTACCTTGGTGGGTTTGGACTGCCATTTGCTTAGAGATCATCCTTTTTGTTCTTAGCAATATTACGGCATCACTTCCATGATGCTGAGTGAGGAAATGTTAGACATTGCTGAGGAGAACCTGCAGGCATATCTTGAAATTGTAAAAGAGGATGAAGAGATTAAAAGTCTTATCAATCCTATGCAGATCTGGATTACCAGGTGAGAGTGAAGAGAGTATCTGTGAACTTTTACTCTGTTCAGAAGAATGCACTCTTTCCTATCACATATAAGAGGTGTAACCATCTGAAGTTAATCACAAATCCCTATAATTTCATGATTTGACTTGGTTCTGCACCCTCACTATTAGTATTTAACTTAGTAATTAGTATATAACTTAGAAATAATTTATGGTTTTGTTACATTTTACACCAGTTCAAATGGAGGGTATGAACAGGCATCATTTAGACTTCAGATCAGTTTAGGGAAAGCGAGTATTTACAAAATAAGCTAAAAATTTTATAGTGCAACTACCTTGCATTAGATGTTGTTGGAAATATTAGAGTAGGTAAAGAGTAGATCTTTATGTATAGAAATTCCTGTGTTTCTAGTAGTCCTAATAGAGCACCTTAAAAAATTGTGGTTCTATAAAGACATAAATTTTAAGTGGTGGCATTGACTGAAATACGCAGGATGGAGGAGCCTTCAAATGAAAGGCTTTGGAAATGAAAGGAGGACCCAACTCTTTTAATTCTTAACCTGTTAAAATGACAAAAAGAGCAGTAAAGGATACAAGCTAATGGTACTTTTAATGTAATCAAGTACAAAATAAATACCTTTTTGTTTAGAGTAATACTTCCAAACAAGCAGTGGTTCATTGTTAACTGTACCTTTTTCTACATCCTTTCTTACCAGTGCATCAGTTCCAATCTGTTATCATCTGATCCCACTGTTGGCAAATGGAGAAGTGTTTGGGATGACCACAGAAATCAGTATCCATTTGCTTGACAATGAGCAGTTTAAAGAAATTCTTCGCAGTATTGTAATGGAAGCTGAAGACATGGCATTCCCACTTCTCCGCAGTATTTCAGAGCACACAAAAATAGATGAGGCTTTTATTGATGCTGATATTATCATTGTTCTTGATGATGTCCTCCTAAACCTTGAAATCCAATCCATTGAGAGCTACATCAGAGAAGTGAGTGAGATCTGCCAAGTGTATGCTCCCTTGATTGAGAAGAATGCCAAGAGTGAAGTCAAAGTCATTTCATCAGGAAAAACCTTTGTAAACCTTAAGGCAACAATGTTAAGGACATATGGCCCATCCATTAGGCCTGAAAATATCATTGCCATTTCAACATCCTGGGAAAGTGCAGCTAAAGCCATGCTGGCCAGGAAGCTGAATATGAATGCAGCAGGTGAATGTTTCTGTAGCCTTTGGGGATTTCAGCACACCTTCGAGAGTGTATATTTAATTCCAGAACACAGTTGATGTGCATGCAGAAATGCACAGCGGTGCACGCTCTGAATTTCTTGGCTGTACAGAATGCCAGAGTCTTTGCTTGCTCTGAGATGCAGCCCTGCCACTCTGGTGTGTATTTCATACTGGAGATATTCTAAGGAAGACAATTGTTTTGCAGATTGGGAAGTAGGACTTCAAGACTGCATTTGCACTCTGTAGTGCATTGTTGTTTTGCAGCTGTGAATAAACATGACAACATACTGCTGTGCAGATAATGAGAGTAAAGTAGAACTGTGTTGTAGTCTTATTTTGAGGTTAATTAACTTCCATTTTGAGGTCAATTGTTATAGCTTCATTATATTTGTACAGTTCTGCACTGCATAGCAAAGGGGTGTTCTGACAATCTGCTCAGCATCAGGATTCTGTAAGTGTTGCATAGCTAGAACTGGTCATTGATGACAAGTCTAGATATTTTGGAGCCTAATAAAATAGAAAAGCAAGTTGATAAACTGAATAGTCTATCAGCAGGTTATTTGAGAAAATCCTTTTGCACCAAAGCAGGTAGGTTTTTTAAATTTTTTTTTTACTGTTTATATATTTGTTTTTAGAGGATTTTAAAAGGAACATAGCTGTATGTTTGCAATATGATTTGTTACTATTTTAAGAGTTGAATATTTACTAGATTTTGTCTATTATTTACAGTAACATGATATAAATTAAAGCTTCTTTTTCAGCTTGTGATGAGGTCTCACATGTTAGGGAGAACTTGGTTGCATTTTTCAGATCAAATAATTTCTGCTAGCAAGGCAGGGCACAGATTTAAATAATTAATTTTGAAAAGGATTTATGAAGCCCATTTTTCTAAAAGTATTTGTCTTTTCACTTTCCTTTGTTACAGGAGTTAGAGATGTGATTGTTTGGGGCAATATTACTGGGTCTAACTACATTGATTTGTCACATGCAAAACTTTATGGATATGACTGTGCTATTCGGGGCCCTCCTAATTTTCAACGTCCTTTGTTGAATATGATTTATGATAGGTACAGTACAGATTTATTTCTTTCAAGTAGAATTAAATAACTTTATAAAAGTTAATAAAATAGTTTATATATTTATAGATTACAAAATTAAAAATAATTTTAATCCATGGTTATCTGGATTATCTAATAAAGCATTGATAAATGTTTTTGTTTTCAAGAATTTTTCTTTACTGATTGGCACTGTACATAAAGGAAAACACAAACCGAGTTACTCCATTTGCAAAAGAAGTTGGGTAGATCCTAGTGCTGTGTGTTGCACTCTCCTGCCAACTCTGTTTATAAGTATATTTTCCCTACATTTTAAATGGGTTTCTCTTATATCATGAGCAGTTTATAAGAAGTGATGGAAGTCCAGGTAGTGATTTAGATGTCTAGTTTGCATGAAGGAACTTTGAAATAGTATTAAACAGATTTCTGAACCTGAATTACATGGAATAGGCCTGAGCATACTAATGTTGTCAGTTTCCCAAAACAGAGAATTTGGTAATATATGTGAAAAGGAGCAGCTAGATAGCTTCCTGTGGAAAGAACAGTAGCAGAGAAAGGGTGGGTGCAGTGAGAGGGCAGCAGATGTTAGATACAGCCAGGCCTGCCTACCTGGAGCTCCCAGTCTGGTCTAGACTTAGCATTTACTGGAGAGCAGACATTTCTATGTTCTAGGCTTGTACTGAACCCCGCACAGGCAGTCTGGTTCATGGCTGGGTTCTTACTGAAAACAGTAATATATAAATTATTTATAAAATATGAAATTGCACATAATTTATAAATTACAATAATAATAGAGGTTATGACTTGAGTAAATGGTCTTTCATAGGACTTGCTACTTTTTAAGCTACATTTTTTAGACCTTTTTTTTCTGTCTGTAAAAATGCCTTGCTTTCAACACTGATGTTTGAGTAAGTTTTGACTATTTTCTTTCCTCAGGTTTAGTTTTCTTTTTCTCTAGGAAACTACTCTTCCTGCAGTCATCTTAGTTTTTCATGCCTTTTTTCTGCATGTTTTGTTGGTAGCGAATGGCTGCATTCAGAAGTGCTGTGTGCACAGAGCACGCTGAGCTCCCGGGTGTCCCATTGCACAGGGATGTTACCTGCCCATGCAATAGCCACGGTACTGCGGTACTGGTACCATGCCTCTCCTTCTGAGGAGATCATTTCTGTGGGAATACTCAGTGAAGGTAAAGCTAGTTTTGCTTCACATGTTCTCTTGTAGCTTTGCCCTGCATATAATAGCTTTCCCCATCTATAATGTTATTTTTAAATCAATATTTTTCATTTAATAAAATGTGGTAAAACAAATCATGTGAGGCTAAGAGTTTGTTTCATCATAAGGACTTCCAAATCTAACAGAGCTTGTGATAATGCTCACTTTTTACAGGCATCTCTTAGGTTAATGTTGTCTTTTTGCAGATGATCTCTTAGTCTTTTAGTTTAAATGCTTTTCTGATGTACGTGTTTTGTACAATAACTCTTTATAGTTCTTAGAGCCTAGGCTATGAAAGTGGGTTCTTCTTGTGTAGTCATGTAAACCAATAGGTGGAATATTTCACAGCAACCATTTAACCCTTATGAAATCAATCATTTTCCCCCTATTTTTAAGATGTACAATCAATACACACACAACTGTGGTATTACAACACAGGAAAGACACCTGTTGGAGATGGTCCTGAGGAGAGCCACACAAAATGATCACAGGGATGAATGCCTTTCTTATGAAAACAGGCAGAGAGAGTTGAGGTTGTTCATCCTGGAGAAGAAAAGGCACTGGAGAGACCTTGTAGCACTTTCCAGTGCTTAAAAGTTCTTATAAGGAAGATGGGGACAAATGTTTTAGCAGGACCCATTGCAATAGGACAAGGGGCAGTGGATTAAAAGTGAAGGAAGGTCAATTTATATCAGATTCAATTAAGTTTTTTACAATGTATATGGTAAGACACTGGAACAGGCTGCCCAGAGGGGTGGGAGACACCTCAGTCCTGGAAACATTCAAGGTCAAGTTGGAAGTGGATCAGATGGATTTGAAGATGTCCCTGCCCATGGCAGGAGGGTTGAACTGGAGACCTTTAAAGGTCCCTTGCAGCCCAAACCCATCTGATGCTATGATTCATGCACATCTAACTAAAGTACAAAGTTACAGTAAAAGAGACATTCTTTTTTGAACTGTACATTGAAAAAGGCAGTGTCCATTTATAATGAGATCTTACAGTTGTAGACTTTTGCAAGTCTGTAGGACTTAATGTTGACATTGGTGAGGATGTAATCAGAAATAACATGTTTTGTCCTTTTTTCCCCCTCTTCTTTAGGTCAGTTTTGCATTCCTGAAGGAATTATCTTCTCTATGCCAGTGAGGCTCCAGAATGGTAATTGGGAAGTCATGACAGAATTAGAAATTAATGAAACGACCCGAAAAGCTCTAGGACGCTTATCCCACGAGCTGGTTCAGGTGAGGGTTACTTGAGTCTCTCAGTGTATGCCCGTTCTGCCACCTATGGGCACGTTGTGATACAACTTTGAGCACAGACCTTTCAGTGTTAGATGTACAAACTGCACACATGCACTTATGCATGGTAAAGACTGGGTACTTATAAGTGTAAGGTAGTATTTGTGTATTGAAATGAACAGACAACTGTTCTGCCCAAAAGGAGATGATAAAACAAGTTCACCTATGTACATGTAGAATTTGCACTCCAAAGTTCTGCAGGCTTTGTGCAGAACAGAAATACTGCCTTTCATTCAATGTTTCTACATTCTATGTTGATTTTTCTTATTCAGAGTTTTTATATGCTAGAAGACATATTTTTTGCATTTTTATGGCTGTAACTTTGCATGAATGAAGGCCAGACCTTACTAGAATTAGGGATTTTTCAGAAAATACAAGATCATTGAGCACTATTTTCATCATAAACTTCTTGTCACTAGTGAGACAAAAAAATTTATTTGTACTATAGAAATATTTTAAAAGACAGGTCCCAAACTCTACATTACAGCTTTAATCAGGTTCTGTGATCTTCAGTCATAGTAGTAATGTGTAAGAATTATTTTGTTTTAACATATTTTAAGTTTGTGCTGGAAATTAGAGTAGATTAAAAGAATGGGTGGTATTAAAATACACTTTTTCTTCCATTTAGGAAAAGCTCGTTGCACTAAAGGAAATAAATGAAATGCATCCATATGAAGCAGAATAAAAACTCCACATCTTCTCCCAAGTGTTTCTTTGCTGCTTTTCCTATTATTTTGCTTTTCAAGTTCTCTGTCCTCATTCATCAAAATAAGAACAAATGAACTCTAAAGCATGTTTTAGTTTGAGGTTTTTTTTTCACTTTTTCTCTATTTTCAGGTTGTGAAATTCTTGCACTTTTCCAGTGTTCTCACAATTTCTTTCTAGTTTTCATTCCTACAGACCGTTTCCCTAATTTCTTTTCTTTCTCCCTTCCTTCAGATTCTTTCCAGTACTTTTATATTAGCCTGTTATTTACTATGAGCTGTTCTTCACCATTAAGGATGGGCTGAAGAATGGGGAAAATATTTTGAGTTGGATACCCAGACCTTCTACTGAGCACAAAGCCTTTTGTTATCCATACTTGTTTTTTTGGGAAAGGACTAAAGACACAGTAAGATATTCTTGATGAATGCAGAATTTAATTATTTGGCTAACCATGACCTTGTTTAACCCAGACAGGGAATTCCCAGTTAGATAAGAGCATCCTTCCCTGTCTGCTCTCTACCTGTATGGCACTGCTGCTCTGTAGAGCTGTCCCATTCCTCCTGTGTCAGCGTTAAATGCTAAGCAGAGGTCTTCCCACTGCTAGCAGCCATGTGCTCAGTTGTGGCCTTCTCTTGTGATGTCACTATCAGGTGTTCAAGTATTCCCAAAGTGCCCTGCTTTATCTCCTTGCATGTGGAAGTACTTTAGGAGGCTAGCAAAAATAGCTCATGTTTTGCTTTTTTTTTTAATCACAGAAATGGAAATCTTGCCTACTGGATCACTTTAGCTAGAGTTGTCTGGAGGAGAAAATGCTGGAAAGTCCCATATTAAATAAGGTTTCCATTGCCCAAAAGAGCAAACTAGAAAGAAAGTCTAAGCATTGCTGTAGCTTTTGCTGTATTTTCCTCATTTAAAATGAGCATAAGAAATCTCTAGGTGAAAAAGTATTTCAAAACCAGTGAATGTAACATTTTTAACCTGTAGGCCAAAGTAAAATTCCTACTGATTTTATTGAGTTTAAGATTTCATTTGCATCCAACCACTTACTTCTTCAGACCAAGAAACTATTGCAAAAACAGTTTAATGCCTTAAATGTTCATATGGAAATATTGAGCAGAACTCTCTGTCACAGAGTAGAAGTTTTGTAATTCCAAATATTTTTTTCAGAGGTACTGAAACACAGTACTTTTGTAATAAAGTATGATTTTAGGCAAAATTGATTTTTAAAAGAAAAATATGTTTATACATTTCCTTAGTGGCAAGTTCATCTTTGTTTCCGTGTTATCCTTATTTATTTAATGAGTTTCAAGAGAATACTCATGTGTTTTAAGTCAAACATAATTAAATTCTTGTTTAAACAGAATTGTTGCAGAACCACTTTTACTTGCATCTTTGGTGTCTTAAATTATGGAGATTGTGTTAATGAAATGTTCCTGTACTTGCTAATTTTTTATCACATATGTTTGAAACAAAAGAGAAAGCTTCCTGTTCTTTGAATCAGTTACATACAGTTGCAATAAATTCCTTATTTCTGTTCAAATGGAAGTTCAAGCTCTGAATAGGGGTAGACTTCCTATATGAGGAAACTAAGAGAAGTTACTGGCTGATTAGAACAGGAGTGGGAGGGATGTCATGCTGGTCTTACAAAGAGGAGCTCAGAAAGCTGGGGTATCACAAGGGATCTGGAGGAATCTGGGGTTCTATGCAAAGTGTATATGGGATAAGCAACATTTAGAGGAACTGAGATATTATTGTAAGTATCCTCATGGAAGAGTTCACATGGAAATTGTAGAGGTAGGTGTTGCAAAAAGTCTTGAAGAGAAGGGTTAGGAACCATTCATTTCATGGGAAGTAGTCTCCAGGGAATTAGTTTCCAGTATGCACAGAAGACTGGCTGAGTTTTCTGAGGAGCATCTAGAGGAAGATGTCTCAGGAGAAAATAGCAGGGAGGAATGCTACCAGTCATCTCTACAAACTACCTGTTTTTCTATAATTCCTTTTCCAAGATAGAAAAGTTAGATTTTCTAATGTGTATTTACATTTGGGCTTTTTCTATATGAATAGGCTTTAGCAATCTTACTCTTTGAATTCTTTTATTCTGCCAGTGGAGACAGTTCAAACAACCTGCAGTTCAAGCACCAGCACTGCACAGCTGTTAATGAGAGAGAAAATAACTCTTCCTGCAATATATAAGTAGACTTATCTGACTTCTGAGTCACTAGCTGAAAACCTCTCTTCTCAGAGACTGGGAGCAGAAAGAAAAAGCTGCTCGGGATGTCTTGTGTATCCTAAATTATTCTAACTGGATTTGTTTAGTGCTGTGCAGGGAAATTCAGGTCTTTCCTCATAGAAGCATAAGTGAATACAAAAGCTTTTTTCCCTAGCTTTTGTTTAGGAGAAAAAGAAAGAAAAAAAAAATAATAGGAAAGCTAAAATATGGTAACATATTCAAAATTGGTTACAGCTGTAAAACAGCAATTGACTTAGTCATCAGTAAGTTTGGGTTTTCTATCAGTAATGAGGAATTTCTGGGACACATTTTTTCACAACTCTCTAAGCCATGTTATGCAGGTTATTCACAGTATTGATGACTTCTTCTACCTGGGTGTTATGGTAACTGTTGAAAAATTTATGAAAAGGGCTTTAAGTTGTATGTGTCTTACAAATGTTATATATAGACTCCTCATAAACCCTAATATTTGGGTGTACTGAAGATCTTTGTGGTTGGTCTGAACAATTCTAGTTCTAGGACATTACCACTAGGGCTTACTATTTTTCTTCTTTGTATAGCTGCCCCAACTCTTTGTTACAGCTCACTGTGCTTTCTGCATTAGTGTCAGCTTCTACCTCATTTGCAGTCTCTATAGCAACAGTTTCTCAGCAACTGGGAGATGCCTAGTAAAGGCCTCTCAATTTAGAAATATTGCACTCCAACCATAAAAAAAAAAAGCTGTGAAACAAAGATCAAAGAAGTTTTATCTTTAATAATTCAGGATATTTATTACTAATTAATTAGTGTTCTCTGTTTTGACTGCTTAGACAATTACCTGATACTTTGATCTGGGCCTTTGCTAGGCATTTGTTGTGAGCAGCTTTAATTTAAAAGCAAAACCTTTAGAACTGTGTCTTGAAGTCAACTTTTAAGTGCTGTAAAACTACTGGACTTCTCTGGTGTTGCCATCTGACTTCTGGACCTTCAGTAAGTAATGAGAGGAAGGTAAGTGCAGCTACTGTATTTAAGAGGAGACAATAATTTTGGCCTTTGAATAAAACATAGAATGTCTTCATCCTTCACAGGAAACAAAAGTAATTGTAGGTTCTTTTATGCATATTTAAGATGTTGATCATATGTTGTCTGATTTCAAAAGAAAAGTCTCTGTGATCAAGTTGATTGATCTGCTGGGAGGTTTCTGCCTTACTTCGTGGGGCTTGTCTTTCTCTGTACTTTAATTTAATTATGTAGCATCTTTCAAAAAGCATTTTATTTGCTAAAGTACATATTCTGAGAACCTGTATGTCAAATAAACAAGCTATAAGTAATCAAATGTTACTTTTCTTTCATAATTCCACTAATAGTCAAGAAAAAGGCCATCCTTACTCTGCACATAAGAGTATTCATGTTAATGGGACCAGGACTGTTAACTGTAACAATGTATTTTCTGAACATTTGTACATACTTTTAATTTTTTTGTTTGTTTTCTTAAGTGTTTTTTCACTATTAAAGCACACAAATAACTGAAATATAACACACAGGCTGAAATAGTGTATCAATTGGCAAAGTTACTTCAAATTTCATGGGCAGCAGATACTGCTTCTGCTTTCACATTGTGTTCATGTGCTAACACTGAAATAGATTCTCTTTGTTTCACCCAGGCACTCCTACTGCAGTCAAGATCTGGACTGGACACGGAGTTTTGTGAATGTAGACTGTACATACATTAATAATGTCTTCTGTAACTTTTTGGAAGGAGGGTTCATAAATATGATGTTGTACAATAATGGCCAGAAATACGTGGTTGACTTTGAGACTATGAATACCCTAGTACAAGACTATAGGGTGGTTTTCCATATGGGTAATTTAGATGTTAAACATTGTTGTGTTGTACTGGACAGAGATCTGGTCATCTTACAGTAAGTATCAAGCACTCATAGATTATGCATGCTGTATAACTCAAGAAGTCAGTGGATCTGTCCTTATTTGAGTGAGCCAATTGCAATGAATTCTAATGCCAGTGAGTTTAACCTGGATATTTTTACATTTATCCCATCCACTTTCTTTATTTAATGTGCCTCTGGTACAGAGAAAATAAAGGAGGCAAGCTGTGTATTTCTAAGTCTACCTTCTAGATTGCTACATGTAGCTTTTACCAAACACTTGTGTTCAATTCATTGCTCTGTGTCTTCTGATTTCACTGATTTCCATACATGAACTTTTCTGTCAAGTTATGCAGAGGCTCCTACTACTGCAGCTATTTTAGGAACAGTTGTATCATATTTTTGTATATATTGCATATGAATACATATCTGTAGGCAAACTTATGTGCCTGTGTAAATGCTGGGCAGAGCTGTAGTTTTGCAGAACCCTTAGTAAGAAAGAAAATAGAATAGTGGAAAAGAAACATAGTGGTATTTTTTTTCAAACAATGACTACAGTAAAAACTGGCATTGTAGTCTTGAATGAAAAAGACTATTAAAGCAAATCTGTATCTCAGTATTTTAAGCATCTAAATTTAGGTTATGACTGAAATTTAGGGACTGAAACAAAAAGTTGCAACTTTCACCAATTAAAATGGTGAGGAGCATATTTATGGTAGACTCAATAATTTTAGATCATTGAATATTTATGCTTCATAAATGGCCAGTATTCTGTCATGTTTATGATCAATGATTCTAACTGAAAAAATGTAAGAAGTGAACATTTGTTTAAGTTCAGATTTAACACCAAATTTATTAAGTTTTAGATAATTTCCAACTATTTAATTTTTATTTATTTTAGCAAACTTGCCCTTTGTTCTGCACAATAAGCCATATAGATGGCCTTTGGAATCTTCTTAGATCTATTATACCTAGTGTTTTGCAACTGCAGTGTTAGCTGAAAGATAGTTACTACAGTTAATTCATATTTTTATTTCTGTGATTGGAAATATAATGTTGTTTAGAGCATTAGTGAAATAAATCCTGAGGGGAGACATTCAGTTTCCATTATTACAGTGACATAACTACTTTTGCTTTCACAGTTGTTAATGTAAGTAGGTTCATGGTTAAGCTTCCTTTTCCCCTTCCATATCAGCTCAATAAGAAATAATGTCAGCTCAGCCTAAAACTTTAGTTTTGCTTGAAAATTTTAGAAAATACTTTTGAGTAATTGCAATCAGTGAATCTTAGGAAGAGTCTGGTGCAGATATGCCCTCTGTGACCTGAAATTGTACACTATGGACCATATGGTAATCCTGAATGTAAATACTGGGCTCTTAATAGTGAAAGATCTCATTTCCTGTACTTAAAACTGTTTTGAGGATTGATTTTGCCCTGCTACCATTTTGCAGTTACTTGAATTACTCCTATTTTATGCTGAGCGCAGAACTTGCAATTTGCTGGCATTTCTCTGCACGTGGCACCAAAACTATTTTGTTTAATGTAATTCTGTTTAATTTAATTTCTGAAATGCATCCAGTGAATTGTTCAGATTAAAAGGTTTAATTTGAATGGTTCAATATGTCTCTGTCTAGAATATGTGGTTTTACACTTTGGTTTGTTGTGTTATAGAATGCCTAATGCCATCTGTTAATTTCAAATGGATCCAGATTTGCAGGGTAAGGATTTTTCATATTTTTCCCCAACTTTTCTCAAAAGGCATTTCTATGTCTTTTTGAACAGAAATTACTGAATTTTAATGAAATCATGCCACCTTGAAAATCTCTGTGCTGTAGCACATAAATCACAAATTACACGGCTGTGATGTCCTGCCTGTATTGTTGGATGTCCAGGCACCTTCCTTGCTGCTATCACATTGGCTTGTGGAATGGTCAGGCACACAGGGCCATGATCCCTAATTTATAATACATGCTAAGGTCTTTTTGCATATTTTGGAATAAGCATTCCAAAGATGGCTGTACACTCCCTTTTTGAGTGCAAAATCTCAGTGGACACCTTATCTGCCACAGAGCAAATACCTCAAAATGCAGAATAGCAGGTAACCAGCTGAAGATGTCAGGAATTAGCACATTTCTGTGTGTGTAGGAACTCCTTTGTCAGCTTCTCAACAAAGAGCATTTATGTTACTGGAGGTGAAATTTGACTCACAGCAGAATGATTGCATGCTGGTTTTCTGTCCAGAGGGGAAGTCCCTTTCCTGTGAAAAATGAAAGATTTTAATGTCCCTAAATAGCCTCTCATCAGTAATAATTCTAAAATGATTTGCTATTTTACTTATGTGTCCTCACAAGTTAATTCTGGAACTGCTTGACAGGCACAGAATGCCCTACTTTGAGGCTACATTTTGTTTCTAAGGGTGGACTAGAATTAAGTAGCAGATGGCTACTAAAACAGATTCCCTTCAATTTCAAAATCATCTTGTGCAGGGAAGGTGTTTGAGTTGAATTGTGTGTATATTTCTAGCATTTGTATTTGAGAATAAGCATTTGGAACTTAATCCATAGCCTAATGAAAACTATGGGAGTTGTTCTGTTCCTTTCAAAAGGGCTTTGGATCAGTTGTTGACGAAAGAGAACTGATGATGCGTGGAAGTCAAAACTCATTTTTCACATTGTATGACATGCTACACTGCATCTCCAAATAATATCACAAAACATAGTATGACAAGAGTAGGACTAAACAGATGGTATAGCAGTTATTGGCATCTTTCTATAGCTTAGGCAGCATCTGGGAAGCAGAAGAACCCATAATTTGCTGACTATTAATATTAATCTGGTGTATTTCTTGGAAACCATTACACGCAGATTGGCACCTTTCCAGACTGAACAGGTGAAGTAATTTGTGAGCTATTTCTACTCATTTATATATATTTATTTCTTATCTTTAGCCTTAATCAACTGTGTGTATCTCTCTCTGAAGTACAGGGAGAAAAGAGTCTCTGAGGACAGAAGGATAACTGGTAAATCCCTTTCTAGCTTCTGACATTTAGTGAACAAGCCTTGGTTTTGGTCTTGAAGTTCTAAGTATGTATAAAGTATTGGGTATAGGTCATGGTCAGCCTCTCTTACTTTCCACTCAGAAAAACATCCTTTATTGATGTGAAAGACATAAGCTGAAATCATATAAGGGTATGGGATTTAGTCAAGCAGATTGAGTGTGTTTGCTAAACAGAGATGTCAAAAGTAATTTGCTCTGGTAAAGGGCTTGTCTTCTTCTACAAGAGACCCACATGTTGATCTTGACAGAAGATTTGTTTGGTGCTTGAAACAATATGCATCCAAAACAATAACCCTGCTGTGCAAACTGACAAACTGTTCCTTCAAGAAGAGAATATCTGATCAAAAAAGCTATTTGTGTGAAGAAATATTATTTCATTATGATCTTGGCTAAAAGTTTGTGCAGTGTATAACCCTCATAGGCCTTGTTCTGATATATGAATGAACTTGATTCCCAAAGAAATAGATGTGTTCTCTATGTTAAATTCTGATTTTACAAGAGATTGTGTCACTGTTTACAAGAAGACTGTTCATCCCACAAAGTTATTCCAAAAAAGAAAATGTTTTCTCTTTGTTTTCTTTTTTTTTCCCCAAAATTTTCCTTCAGAGTGTTGATCAACTCGAAACTCCAAATTTGGTTGTTTTGATTTTTAGTTCGTTTTGAATGAACCACTCTATTGTAATGTGTGTTTGTTTTCTTTCACGGAGGCCTTCAGTGATGTTGAAAGCTCCACATACAGAACAGCCCTAAAAATATGCTCAGTACAAAGTCTTTGCCAATGTTAGTAGTCAAAGAGAATCCTATGCTTTTACAGGGACAAGAATCTGTATAAAATTTGCTTTGCTGTCACCATGAGTTATTATGCTACTTTGCTTTCTCATTTTCCACCTTGGGGTTTCAGAATGGATTATGAACACTTAAGATCTATATAGTACTTCATATACAAATTGATTTTTTTTCCCTTTTGAATGTCAATGGAAATACATTAGTGAAATTCTAAAATGATGAGACAATCAAATTATTTTTACAATCTGCAGCAATGCTATTTAGACATCACTGACAATTATTAATCTATCTGTATATTATTTTGCTCATGAAAAGTCAAATTCGAATGTGTTTCTTAGGAGCTGATTTATTTGAAATAATAATTTCTTATTGAAAATGCATTGACTGGACTATAAGAATTAATGCGAGCAAAATAGAACATGATAGACCAGAAAATGCCTAGTTAGTATTCATTCGTTCTTGTCTTTGAAGTGAGGGAGAATTCAGTGCAAGCAGAGAGTTATGCAACAAAGTCCTGGTCACCTAGCTCACTTTGAAATTACTGGATGTAAATTCCATATTGAGCTAAATTTCATGGAAATCTTGAATTCTTTATTTGTGCTGAAAATGCACAATATTGCAAGTGAGGTCTTCAGGGTAACACAGAGAAGGTGACTAGTTTGTTGGCCTTGGACATATTTCTTTCATTTGGGGATGCTTTTCTATGAATACGTTTAGTCTGGTCTCAGTCCTGATATAGTTTATCTGCCTGATGCTCTGTGCCAAGTGGAAGTACCAAGGCACTGGTTTTCTTTTTATGTGGTGCACTGTTTTAGGCTTCATTTTACAGACCTGTCTTAGCTAGGCATTTCTGTAAAAAACAGTCATGCTTCCATTCATGAAAAGGCAGGGATCCTCATTCATTTCTTCCTTAATTTTCCCACAATGGATTTGATTGACATTTCTCTGATTCAGCACATCCTATCAAGTGAACAAAGCCAGAGGGAAGAGCAGATTTCTCTGAACTCTCAGCAAATCTCTAGAATGCTGATGAAGCTGTTCCAAAGGCAAGGTTAGAAAAACCAGGCCAGGTAGATCCAAGAGCTGATGAATTCTCATTGGGCCTACTGATTGCCATGTATGACAGGTGAGAAGCAGAAGGAATGTAGATCCATTGTGAATTACCATAGAGTCAAAGAATGTGTTTTTACTCAGGACCTTAAAGATCATATAGCTCCCACCTAAAGTATCGCTAGACTAAGTCTGTTTCTACCACTCTCACACCATTTCTGTGTGAAACTCTCCCATTTTGATTGGTTTTCCTTTGTATAAAAACTAGGAGTTGCTCAGCTGTAGGAATATAAGGCACAAAACTGCATCAGAAACATGGTGCTCAAATGTTCCCAAAACTGGAAATCCAGACTTTTGCTAGTCCATGCTGACTTTTTCTCCGAACAGCTTTACAGAGTAGCTCTTCTGACTTCCGAGATATTTTGATACACTCCTAAAAATGAATCCATATTTGGATTTTTCTTTTTCTTTTCTTTTTTTTTTCTTTGAAATTTTTTGGAAAAACAAAAATTTTCCATGCAGTTTGTATTTTAGTGTCTATATTGCAGCTTTACACAGTGTGGATTTATCTTAAGACTCTTGAAGACAATTTTATGTAATGATATTTTGAATCTTTGCAAAAGTAATACCTTAAATATAGATTTCCGGGGCTTCCTGATTTGTGGTTTCTGATTAATGTCTGCATTGTCTTCTCCAAAATAATTGTGTCTTTCATTAGGTGCCTATATCACAAAATTTTGTTCTAAATTAATCTACCTTATTTATTATCTAACAGTCAAAACTAAATATCCTGCATATATCCTTTTCATTAAATTGAGTTTCAGTGAAATTAAATGTAATCAGCCCAAGAGAAGCTCAGTGCAGATCTGGGGCCACAGTGGAGTGGGCTGATGATATATGCAGAAACTTAGATTGTATCCTGTATTCAGTATTGTATTTGGGAAGGCTTTCCACAATAAAAAGGGCAGAATTTTTTTAGGAAATACATTGTAAAGGTAAAATTACATTTTACTTGGAATGTGAAGTCTCTGAAGGAGCTGTTTTCTTTTTGTTTTATGATTGCATGGTATCTTGGAACAGTTAACTCTGCAGTTATGTTCAGTGACAAAGGGTTCTAGACATAAAATATCACTGGAATGTTACTTTGGTGACATTTATACATATTAAAGGATACTTGTTTTGAAGTTTTCTTCCTACATAGTAATATTCCATCCTTTAGATGTTTTAGTGTTTATATTCTCAGTGAATGAGAATAGTGTAACTTAATTAATTTTCCTAGATCTGGAACAGGGTATGTCAAAACTAGATCTGCTGCAGCTTCCCTAATTTCCCTTTCAGGAGATGCTTTATTGGCTAAATATAGAGGTGGGAAATGTATGATTTTATACACTATCTGATGTATAATTTTTTGTAGGATTTTATACACTATCTGAAATGTATGATTTTATACATTATCTGAAATACTGAACATTGAGAAAATTTTCCATTATATTTTTTTTTTAAATTTTAAAATAAAAGCTTGGCCATGGAAAAAGTAAATTATGTTGACTGCTTAGTTGTAGAGAAAGGCTGATGCAGAATAATGCTTTCCAGTCAATATCTGTAGCCATCTTTGCAATTGAGAGCCTCAAAAGAGGTTATAGACATTTAAGTAGAGCTTCTATTTGCCTAGCAGAAAAGAACAGAAACCCCATGGTTTTAAATTAGCAATTCACAATTTAAATAGAACACTTCTTGTATAAACATATTTAAATATTTTTCCTAGTTTTGTAAGAATGAGTTCATTGCTTTTTTTCCTTGCTTTCCTTCTCTTTCCCTCACTGTAGGGAGAGCTATGGTCACAGCAGTCACTGAGAGCCTCTAAGGTACATAATATAGTGAAACTTTCTGGAGGGGTTTA